TAATGTTACGGAATATTACGAAATACAATTTACGTAATCTTACGACGGTCTCGTAAGTTTTCGTAATATTACAGAACATAAGTTTACGCAATATTACGTCCTATTAAATTTACTGATGATGTATATGATTGAGATTAGTCAAATAGTCTAATAATATAAATTTTGACTAAAATTTAAATTTCCTCCTTTTCTACTGACCGTCTTTTATATAATGAATAAATTGTTAAAATTCAGTAAGATATTATTGAATTTTCTTATATAATAAATTTTAACCAAAAATGAAAATATGTTATAGTGAAATTCAACTGTAATCAACAGATCATAAGAGGGTATTATATATTATAAGTATCTAAAATACTTTACAATTTCTATACCTTTCTTATATATAGTATTTACCAATATAATATATTCTTGGATATAGAGCTTCTAATGAGTTGAATTGACTCATAAGTCAAATGAGTTAACTCGAGTTTTAATTGAGTCGAGTCAAATATTTTTGAATTATTAGTTGAGTTGAATCAATAAATTAACTCAATTCATTTCAACTCAAGTTGACTCAGTTGACTCATGTGAATTAATATTATATAAGTTACTATTTTGGGAATTTGTGTACCACATTTTGGTGATTTTCCAATTTTTCAATAGTTAGAAATTTCCTTTTTGGGAATTTGTATAACTGTATATCCATATTTGATATATTGTGTAATCCAATTTGGTGGTAAAATACAATCCCAGAATTTTAGAAAATATATAGGTTATGAAGCTTAAAATGAAAATATGATGATGTAAATTTTACGAATTTCTGATTGATAGATCTTGAGATAATGGTCTTTGAAGCTAAAAATCAATTTTTATACATTTTCTTGAATATCAGTAATCCATTAAAAATGTAACACATATCATTTTGATGAGCGCATCTTAGCGAACATGATGGTACAGATTTCATAAAATTTTGATTAGTAGATTATTAGATAATAGCATCTGAATCTTTAATATAATTTTATTATTTTATTATTTATATAATCAGCAAATATATTTATAGGGGTTTTATTTGACTTGAGTTGAGTCAAATCAAATTTAAGTATAACTCAAGTTGAGTTGAGTTAGAGTTTTAAAATTTTTTGATTCAACTTGACTTAATTCGATTTATTAGAAACTTTACTCAGATATAATTAAAATTTGCAAAGAACACAGGATACTATAGCTCACAATATACAGTGCTTTCAATCAATTATTTAATTTTAAATTTTTTAAGGTTATTATAGAAATATATGAAATCTAATATATAAAATATAAAAAAAATAAAAACATTAATAATATTCTTAAATATTAAAAAAAAACCTTCTTTTTACATAATTATCTTTAAATACTATTTAAGAAGCTTTAAAATCTAACTTACAAAAAAAAAAAGAAATATTAGTAACATTGTATATATATTTACTTTTAATTTTACTTCAAGATTAAACAAAAAAAATTAGTAGTTTGTTCTAGGACATGATAATATATTAATATATTATCATGTCCTAGAACAAACTACTTGTTCCAGACTAATATATCCTAGAATAATATAGTTTATTAATTAATATGTTTTAAAATGTTGTAATCTATTAATTAATATGTCTTAGGATGTTATAATCTATTAATAATTATGTCCTAAAGATGGGGGCCTGCTTTTCCTCTCTGTGACTTATTGGTTAATAAATATGAATGAGTGCGTGTCTATTGGGTTGCCTTAAAATACTAAAGTGATATAAAAAAGGTGACAGGTGGTATGATAAATTTGCGATTAATTTTAGCTAATACTTTGTTTTAGTTCTAGCCGATCTTTTGGATATGTGATTTAAGGATCCAATTTGATGTTATAATAGCATCATAATAGCATCCTGGTAGTGTCATAGAACTCTCCTGAAACTGTCATGGAACTGGCAGTGTGTCTGAGAGGTTCTATTTATTCACCAGTTTCAGTCCACTTATATGCTAGCTTAGATGCTAAATTATTACACCCAAAGTTCTGGCCGAAATTATCAAATAGTATTGGCTGACATTAAGCGAATAAGTCTTACACAAAGACTATATCATAGCTGAACACATATCTAGAAAGTGAAGTCTTTTCCAATTTTTTATATAATATTTCTGAAGAAAACTTTACTCTCAGATACATATCTACTTGTCTTCCTTTTATGATTTGCTTACTAGCTTACTATATGTTTCATTTTGAAGTGATAAAAAATAAATGCACCAATAAAAGTACCTATACTTAAGCACATATTAGTGTTAGGGTAGTCTTCTTCTATTATTTTATATAATATTTCTGAAGAAGGCTACCCGAATACATATATTTATATAATGATTACGAAGAAGGCTACCCAAAATACATATACCCAATTACATACTAGTGATGGATAATCTTCTGCTAATATTTATATAATAAATTACGCAGAAGGCTACCCTAAGTATCACCTATTAAGAATATGTTATTTACAATTTGCTTATTAGCTTACTATATATTTCTTTTTTCGAGGATGAAAAATGCGTCAGGGATATTTGAAGAATATTTGAGTGACATTTGGGGTTTGGGTTAGTGGATCAGTTGGTTAGAAAATTGGAGGTACTAACTTCATATCTTTTTTGGTATACTTCTATATTATGTGAAGGCTATACCATACTGAGTACATACCTAGAAAGTGTATTCTTTCTTTATATAATATTTCTGAAGAATATTACAATTTGATGCAATAATTTATCTGGCCTTCTTTTGTGTTTTACTATTTAAGTTTGCTATTGCTTCTTTTTTCAATGAATAAAAAAAATAATTAAACATTTCCGATTAATATAAAGTTATATAATTCCTTTCAAACTGACAACATGTATACCCCAATTATTTCTGACCAAACTGATCACACTGAATCTGATCCAATACTCATCCACTATAACGACGCTGAGTCCGATGAATATTTAAGTGACTCTAGCAGTTATACTAATAATGGATCCAACTTAGGGTCAGATAATTATAATAATTGCAAGTCTAATTATGAGTCTGATAATAAAGAAGCTTCCTGCGTTTCAACTAGCACTACTGAAGCTGTAAAAGAACAAAAGATTAATGTGATATATACTTTGAGGTAAGAAAACTTTAATGATAAATTTTCTCTAAAGGATTTACTAAATACCATTCAGGGGATTCTCTCATCATCGCCTAAAGAAATGTCAGACGATAAAGGGTCATTGAATTACCTTCCAATTTATTCATTCCTCTTTCTGAATGAAAAAGATTCTAGCTTATATAATGCTTATGATAGAAGTGAGGTGGAAGATAAATTAGTTATCAAAATCGACTAAGATGGTGATCATGCCTCAAATTTTCTGTTGCCGACAACATTTCTGAAGTTTATGACTTGTCTGGAATTCATGAATGTATTAATGGTCAAAAACCTTTAAGAGCTGTGATTGAAATAAATGTTTTACAAGCAGATATGAAAATTACTGATGTTAAGACGCAAGAAGTATTCTTTCGAATCTGCCTATCTTTTATAAGAGCCTAATATCAAATTCTTGATTGTAGCTGGAAGAATGATCTCAATGGTTTAGTAATTGCTACATCATCGAACCCTAGCAAGTGTAGCTACCATATTTTATACGTACTGGCTCTTCTTATTGATCATCACGAACTCAAAGCATTTACTAAATTAGTATATACCATAACTGGTGAAAAATTTGGCAAGTTTATTGATCAAAAATTATCTGGTTAGAATTTTAACCTTCGCCTAATTGGTTCGGCAAAAAAAGGTCACATAAAATGCATTCTTCAATTCTCTCTAGATAATGGTTGAAATAAGCTCAATCATACTAGAGTTCAACCACCTACTAGTTTGGGACTTGAAGTAAGACCTCAGATACTTAGTGAAGAAAAAAATAATAATCTACTAAGAATAATTGTAGGTCAGGATGTATTGCAAAAATGCGCGAAACTTATTTTGCAAAAGTATTCTAACTATCTTAGAGATTGGACTATTGAAGAAAAAGACTCAGAAAACTTCATATATTTCAACTGGAAAGGTCCACTATAATGCCACTATGTAAACGTATATATGATAAAGATCAGTAGTAGTTCAGTTATGTATATTACAGTAGTAGAACATTTATTGTAAAATGCTTTTGGTAAGGTAGTAATGAATCTAGAGAAGTTTTTGAATGCAACTTATCTATCGCAGAAAAAATTAGACAAGAAAATAAAAATTCTTCACAATTATCTCACAAGGTAAAATCCCAAATTTTTCTAAAGCCTTCGTAAAATTCCCATCTTGGATCAAGTATAATGAACCCCTTACAGCAACAGAAATATATGAGAAGAGGTATATAAAACCATTATTCAATGAAGGTGATATTTTATGTTGTATCACCTTGGGAAACAGGAAAAACATATATTCTTGAAAATCTGGCTATTCTTGATGATATAAATTTGCTTGTATTATATACGCGTCACTCTTACTCGAATACTATTACTACAAGACTTAATCTTAAATCATATTGTAATATTAATTGTAATATAAATCTACCTGATCATAAGAGGGTAGTGTATCAGATAGAGAGTCTACATCATATTATCAATAATTGCAAATGTGATAAAAAGTGTAAATGTTCTCTGAGCCAATATGATTTATGACTTGATGAAATAGTATCTATAATTACTCAGGTACAAAGTCATTTAGCAGGGCAATCAATAGAGAAATTGTATAAACTAATTCAAGAAGCGAGATGCATTATCATTATACATAATGATCTTACTGATCTTAATATTAAATGGATTAAGATCTTTCATAAGTATAAACCATTCTCTATTATCTGCAATACTTTTCAACCCCAAAAAGGTAAGATATTATGCTTGGCTCTTAATAAAGAGAGAGTATTAACTAAACTTTGAGATTGGGCCAAGCAGATATCTTCATTACCTTTTGAGAATCGTAAAAGTGTATCACTTATTTGCCATCTTAGAAAAGATTTACAAGGAATTATTTGTGCTCTCAAGACTGAATTTTCAGAACTAAGGATCAAGAAATATTATGGTAAATCTGATCCAATGGAAAAAGCTCAAGATTTCAGCAACGTAAAAGAATCATGAAAAGAGATTGACCTAGTTGCTTATACCAGCACTTTAAAAATAAGAGTATCTTACATTAATCCTAAGTTTGAATGAGCATTTTGTATCTTCAATAATTATATAGAAACAAATGCTGGAATGAATCAGATGCCATTCTGCATACAATGCATTAAGGATTATGTATGATATACAATCTCGGTCAATATCGCACTGATTCGTATGAAACAACTACCATTCGATTTCTCGAGACTCTTTCCTGAAATTTTCAGACCATTTTTTCAAAAATATTAAAAACTTTTAAAAATAATTTTTTCACTATACA